GTGAGATGAGAGCGGAATAAAGGAAAGTAGTGGTGATAACCCCAAAACTCATAGAACCGAGCCTTCGGTTCTATCAAACCTTATCCCGTAGGATAAAGAGTAGAGACCCCTAGTTGGCTTTCATGCCTTGCGACATGCCCAAGCCGAGGGCCATGGCCGATCCGATACCGCCATTACCATTCGTCTCTGTGGGCACAAAGACGGTACGGTTACCAAACGCCTCGACACGCCTGACTTCCATCCTAGACACGCCCATCTGGCGGGCAAAGTCATCCTTGATATTACCGTCCGCCTCACCACGAGAGCGGATAGCATCGGCTTCAGCCAACGCTGCAATCTTGGTCGCCTCTGCTTGAGCCTCTGCTGCAAGCTTGAGCGTAGTAGATAGGATAGTCTGCTCGGTGACCCATTCTCCCGAGGAGATGGAGGCAAACAAGACTTGACAAGATCTCGGATCAGGATATTCGACGGTATGACTCTATTAAGATGTAAAAATCTTTACTGATATCGTGGAAAGAGGACATATCCAACAGCGAGACTCGACAAGGTGGATCCGGAATATGCAGAGGAAACGGCCACTACAAAGAGCATTTGACTAGGGTGGAATGAACCAGCTAGCTGACAGCCGTGTTATAAATGAATTGTGAAGGCACCAAGCGTACCAAGTGAACAATTTGGAGCCGAGTTGTGCAGTGGGAGAAGGCAATTCGGTGTACTATAGTCAGTTGCTCAATGCGAGAGATGTCTTCCCAGAGCTATGGAACTAAATATAGCTGGTTGGATGGTCACAAGGCTATGGAAGCATACCGCACTGGTTGCTTTCCCATTCGACGACGACTCGCTTGTGTCCGGCTTGATTGTAGACACGGACAAAATCCCTGTCCAACCGCACTCGATTCCAAACAGTCGAGTTGTACAGTGGTGGAGAGCAAGTCGCTGTGCTACTTCGACCAGATGGCGAGCGCTGAAACAGCAGCGGACATAAGCACGTCGCCCGACGAGTGAGTGAGCAGTCTCCCTGTCCATTGCCGCCCGTCACAGCCACAGTGCCGTGCGGAATTTGAGGTCGGGATTGGTCCCTATCCTATTCCTTGCTTTGTTCCTTGCATTTCCAATTAGTTTATTCACCTGACATTCGACCTGTGATCAATCCCGGCATCCGCTATAAAAGATGGAGCACTCGTCCACCTGCTCTCCCTCATCTCTCACTCTCAACCACCACCACCACTTTTAACACTCAACATCTTTTACTCATGTCCGTCGCTGGTGCAACTACTGTCGTCGGTGCCAACGACCACTATGACTCCACGCTCAAACCATCCGAGTACCCACATGACCTAAAGGGCAAGGGCAAACGCAGGAGCGAGCCCACAACCTCGACCGCCGTCGACGAAAACATTCTCCACAGTGCAGGAATGGTCAGTCCGCTCTCTCTTCCAATACCCCTCCATTCTAACCCGTCGCAGGAAATCGAAACCCTTGAAGAACGCCCGTTCTTTGTCAGGATCAATCCCAAGGACGGTGTCGTCGGCGCCCTCAAAAAGCTAGATCAACAGCTCAAAGACCAAGGTGAAGCCGGCCTGCTTTCCAAAAAGGAACCGGTCACTTGGATCGGCGAGGAACTCATCCCAGGTCAAGTCGGTCTCATCAACCACGGTGGGCTCCCCAAGCTCTTGCTCAAACCTGGTCGATATCCTCCCATGCCTCTTGCCAACTGGATTGCCAGAGAGTACATTGGCGCTAAAGCGTTGTCGGAGACCGTGATCGAGGTACGTCCACCGCCGCCGCTTGGCATTTGCATTGAAATAGGACCCTTGTGTGTACTAACTCAAACACTCCTAGTTCCAAGGTCTCACTATCGTCCAAGTCTCGCAAAACCAGGCTGCAGTTATTTGCGATCCGCAAAATAAAGTGTTTGTGATCAAGAATGGAGGGTTTGCCGCTCTCTCGCTCGTCGGTGCCTATACCATTCTCGCCGTCGTCGACCAGACCCACTTGAGCACTGTCGTCAAGGATCGTGTTACCAACGCTGTTCTCGGATGGACTCAGGAAGTCAAGATGACGAGGAATACGGGTAGAGGTGGAGGCGACAAGGAATTCGTCGTCGCCTTGTTCTTGAACATTCCCGCCAACAATTGCGCCATTCTCCAAAAGGGTAACGATCTTATCGTCATCCCCGCTGGACAGCACTATGTTGTCGATCCTAGCATTACGCTTCGAGGCATGTTTACATTTGGCGAGAACCAGCTAGAAATGCCCACCAAGGTACGAGCGCACCCATTCTCACAAGACTCGAGCTCAACTGTTGTTTAGGACATTTTCACTCGCGACCAAGTTCCAGTGCAATTGACCATCTACTTGAAGTGGCAACTCACCGAACCACTCAAGCTCACCCAACACGGCTACAGCACCGCCTACGAAGCTCTCCGCGACAAGACCCAGTCGATACTCACCCAAGTCGTATCCCACCTCGACTACTCTGCCATGATCAAGCAACGTCAAATCGGTCCCGACATTATGGACGACAATACCGACTCGAACGCTGCCTTCCTCGACGCCCTCCGTACCCGCGCCATGGACGAGCTTATTGAAGCATCCACCGAATACGGTATCGTCCTCAAAGACTTGGCCGTCATCGACCGTCAATTCAAGGGTGATATCGCCGCCACAATGGACAAGCTCACCACGCGTGCGCTCCAGGCTCAAGTCGAAGCTGCCAATGTCGATCGAGAGAATAGCAATCTCGTCAAAAAGGAACAGGGTAAACTCGAAGTGGCGCGTGTGCAAGCGCAGACGCGCAAGACGGAAGCAGATGCAAAAGCCTATACGGTCGTGGCGGGTGCCAAAGCTGAAGCCGAAGCGTTAAAGATTGCGGCAGAGGCTCAAGCGGAGGCGACCAAGATTGCAGCGTTGGCTGAAGCCGATGCAATTCGGTCTCGTGGGGAGGCGGATCGGAATATCAAGGATGACTTTGCTCGCGAGATGAGCTCGAAGAGGATGGAAGTCAGACGCGTCGAAGCGTTTGGTAATCGTACCGTCTTTGTGCCTACGGAGACGAGTGGAAATGGAGGTATTGGATCATCCATGGCTATGGGTCTAGGGATGGCCCAAGGCATGGGATCCAAGTAAAGTCTCTCTGACTGAAATCTCTTGGGCTTGATGCACTCTAATTATTGAGTTATCACCACTCTTTAGCTCTCATTTACCCACCTATGGACGTTATCTGTACACTCTCTATAATCTATTGGTTCAAAATAGGACGCTCCTTTGTTCCTCATTTTCGAATGTAGAGAAACTACACTTTTCAATAATGGTGAACTAAGTGTAACTATTTGGGATGCTACACAAGGGCCACAAGAGTATGGAAGTATATCAATACTCTAAAATAATACGCCTCCGCTGGTATTCTAAGAAGTAACTCAAGTCGACCACATCGAGCCCTGACGTGAACCCTCCCATCCCCGACCAGCAATATCCACCCTCTCATTCTATAACGGAAACACCATCCTATGGCCTATGACAGGAATCATAGCTCGGGGATATCATCTAGATGGACTTATATCATGTTGATTGGTGACCCTGGTGTGGGCAAGACATCAGTCCGTAGACGATATCTCAACAAGCAATCCCCCACGGAACCAGTCCGAGCATGGCAGCACCAATTTATGGGAATCCCTTTTGACCTACATTCGTCGCCTATCCTTCCCAACGGACAGCTCAAGCGCCGACCGTTGATAGGAATCGGCGACGGGCGAAACGGCACTTCAAAAATGGTAAATATGCAAGTCAGCTTTGAAATAGTGTCCAGTTGGCCAGCATCTTCAAGGCTCATGGCAGGTAAATTCGAATTTACCGATGTCGTAGCCATTTGCTACGATTGCTCGAGACCAGAAACCCTTTATAATGCGATATACAAGGTGAGTACCACCTCAATATTTGTATTCGGATCACTTTCTCCTCTATTCTCATTCAAGACCTAATAAATTCACCAGTGGTGCCCAATAGTACTGCATATGCGGCCTCAAATTCCTATATTTCTACTTGGATGCAAAACAGATCTAAGGGAGGAACAGACCCGAGATTCACTTACCTTCGTTACGGCAGAAGAGGCACAAAAAGCAGCGCTTCAAATCGGGGCCATTGACGTACTCGAATGCACCGCAATGCAGAGTGATTCCGTCAAGAAGGTCTGTGATACTTTCTTTTGGTATGGTTATTACTCGCATTCCATCAGGGAACAGGGTGTTTCCCCATCCGAGGACTGGATACAACGTCTACTGGGTCGAGTCTCGGGGTACCATTGACCTGTGCGTGACTCGTTTCCTGGTCGCCTGTCACGAATATTAATATCTTCTAGACAATTCAGGGGCAAGTGTGGGCCACTACGATTGATTAGGTCCAAGACTATCAAGAGAGCCAATTACAGAGACGTGAATGTCCATGGAGCCACTTCGACTCGCTGCTTCCTATCGCCCGCCTGAACCTCGATAGCTAATTTATCTTAGAACCAGACCTAAAATGACTTCAATACTCGTTATTCCTATTGAATTCACCTTCGACGCTCATCACCCAAATCCTTGTGCTCAATTTAATATCTGTCAACGACATTGTACGCCGCTCCGCGTAGCACCATAAACATATCCGCACTTTCTTGAAGCTTTGAACACGCCCTGAAGCATTTTGTTCTCGACCTGACC